TGCATCAGTACTGTATTACAACTGATTGCAGACCGCTGGTAAAACGTATTTTAATTCCATGTAATCTGGAGTTTTATAGCATCAATCAATATCAGTATTAATGTTGTGGAATTTCGTGGTGGCAATAGTGCTTTATGAGTTGTAACACATTATGAAGGGCAGCAGCAGCAGCAGCATTGTTGTGAATGTATTGAACCACTGACAGTGGTATTCAGTAACAAAGTACATTTACTTAATTTACTTGTACTTCACTTGCATAGTTCCATGTACGGTATACTTCTACTCCACTACATTTCAGAGATTCATATTGTACTTTTGACTCCATGACATGTATTTGACAGCTTCCATTGCTCTGCATCAATCATATGAAATATAAAACACATTTACAGTAATGCATTTAGTTATACAGTGGGTACATTCACCAGCTATCAATCTGTCTAATACTTGAATTAGCTCTAGCTGTGCCAGCTGCATGAAACACAATAATGCATCAGTAATTATACTCAAAACATAAAATGGATATATAGTATTCTGGAATTGGCAAATCTGCATAACGAGTACTTTTACTTTATGTAGTTGAAGCTAATACTTTTTTACTTTTACTTAATTAACATTAAGAATGCAGGATGTATACTTGTAACAGTCATTTTACTCTTTGTGTTTCTACCTTTCCTTAAGTCCAATACCTAAGTACATCTTCAACCTGTCAGTGGAAGCTTCTTGTGTTTTATCGCTCTATAAATAACCCCATGCCAAAACACTTTTCAAAAAAGAAAAGCATTGTAGCTCAAACGAATGGTCCTCTTTCATTATTGACTGGTGGCTTTATTTTCCGTAGCCGGACGGGTTATTTATCAGTCGGGACATTTACGACCTTAGAGACAGCCTGTACAGCTAGCATGCTAATGAGGCCGTCACTCCTAATCAGGAGTCAACAGGAGCCAATCAGGAGCAATTAGAGACCATTTCCACCCCAGCTGGGGGAGCATCTCCACGGTGACTCCAGCAGCCAGCCTCTTCATGCACACAGCTTGGACGTGCTTACAGGGTTCAAACAGCACTGTGATGCCTTGTTTACACGGATTCATGGCTCCCTTCTCACATCCCTTCAAATGCCATGCAAAAGCATTTTTCATTACAAACAAAACAAATGGCTTACTTTGTGAACTACAAGAGAAAAGAGAGAAATGTGATTATTTAAAGTGTCAGTGTTTGGGGGTATGCAGGACAGTGTGCAACAACAATGACCTACATTCAATCATCTCTATTTGTTATTGCAGTGTTTTTATTAAAAGTGCAAAATAAAAACTGTGTCTATAACTTTTACACAGAAAAAACATCTTGTCATTCTGTATTAGCTGCAGAGCATTTGCTATGAGGCACTTTAGGAACAATGCAGTTAAACACACAATCAATCATTCAAACTGTGACGATACATCTGTGCCTGTGGTGTTTATATATTATTTAAATGTACTGCAACAGCTAAGACTTACCTCCAAACTTCAATGATTGAGGGTGTTTTTCTGCGTGGTCTCTCCACATGGATTTACTCACACACCAGTGGAGGCCTTAGTATTAAAGGGGCTGTGTGGAGTTATTTTCTAGGCAGACATAAGTTCAAATGTGTATTCAGTGTTCCTCACCGCAGTGTGCGTCTTTTAAAGAGGACATGTCATGCACAGACACCTATAACACACAACAGGAAAGGGAAAACCTCCAAAAGCATAATGGGGACTCTTTAAGTCTGAGAAATGTTGTTTTCCATTAAGCATTTGTAAAGCCAATTCTGTAAGCACTGTGTATGCAGCACTAATAACACGCATTTCGACTTTCTAGAAATGCACAAAGTTACACACTCGTAAAGAAAAGGGCTACTACATAGTGCAACTAGCCAAAACTCAGCTTGAACCTTTAAGAAGGTAACAGTTCAGACACTTGAGACACTTGGCAGTCTCCTAAATAAGCTCCTCCTTTCCAGAGATGCTGATTTCATGTGCTGTTCCTTGTAAGTGCACAACGATATAATAAAATATTCTAATGCGATGGTACAAGTTAAATGAATGTAGAGACAAAGTGAAATATTCATCTGTATTTTTTGTTTTAAACCAAAATTCCGTTTTTTTGTTAAAGCGTCCATTAAGAGGCAATGTGAGAAAACTACTGCAAAGTTCATGATGAAAATCCTATCTGACGAGAAGTTACATCTGTATGATGTTTACTCCGCTCTTGGCATGTGTGTTACTGCTAGGAGGTAATGGAGTATATTAGGTAAGCACAAGTGCACACTCGCTTTTAAAGGGTTTTCTAGTCCACTTCCTCTCACCACTAACTGGTTTAGAATACGGCACATTCTATCTGCAAAGTGAAGTGTGTTGAAGCAGCAATTTGACCAAGAGATATAATGTGTTTCAGACTTTATGCCTAGTCATGAAAATGAGCTGTTCCTACTCATAACATGTGTGAAGCCATGTGAGTAATGAAGCGTATGCATGACCACATGCATGAGCATATTCACACAGCATATGCAAACAAGTACCCATTCTCACATCGTGCAAACGGATATCGACAGACACTTGGCTAGGGACTGTTTCAGCTCTCCTACGCAGACATATAACTTATTGAATCACTGAGGAAAGTCCCTCCAGGCTTAGTGTTGTTGGGCACAGACAATCTGGCTGAGCATATTGGATAGGCCAGCCAAAGAGAGGACGAGCAGGACACATAACACTCCATCCTCCTCACACACACTAACACGTTTTGCTTGGTTCCCCCCTGATGCCCATGGGAGCTCAGCTGTTGCCTGGGAGCCTCTGCATGGCACGCTGATCGCTCTCAGGCTGCCACAGGGTGCTGGAGCAGAAGAGCTGGATGTCTTCAGATGGCCCGGCAGATGGAGTTGTGTTTTCTTCGCCTTTGACACTGTACCCAGAAAGAGGAGGCATCTCCTTGCCCCGGGCTGCGTGTGCCTTTTCGTAGTCCAGCAGTCAACTCTTGACACATTTCTTCCGATGCTGGCACTACTCTGTTGTCTTGCAGCAGAGGGAGCTCACCTGCAGGGGGCTTCAGCAACATGCAGAGCAGCCGGTACATAGTGTGAGAGTCCTGTAGATGTTTGGGGATTGTGAATGAGACAATAGTGCATATGTTCTGAAGCCTCAAGTGAGCCTGGCAGCCAGGTCATTGGATGATGTGAGTGCAAGTAAAGGTTGTGATCATTTATTGTATTTACCCAAATGATATAATATTGTTACGATGGGTTATAAAATGAAGAAAAGATTCTAGAGCCTAAGCATAACTAAACCGAGTTGAGTGCTCCTCGAACCGAGACACACTAATCTCCACTCCAAACTGCACGTTTTAAAGGTCACCTATTACGCTAAATCCACTTTGTCTTGTCTTATACATAAACATGTGCAGCAGGGCTGAAACAGAGGGGTTTGTGGGATGCTGCAATGATCTGTTTGGTGTTTCAGACAAACACTTCAGAGACAGGTTTATCTGAGACCTGTTATATATTGATGCAAAGCAGTATAATAGGGACCTTTAATGACCATGCTGCCCAGTCGATAGTTGAGTACAGGGGAGAGAAGCCCTTTCCTCATTACAAGAAGGGGAGCTAGGGTGAAGTTGCTCTGTGAACTGAACACCCCTTGGGTTTTAGGAGAATGGCACGGTCCAATCAGACGGCATATCTACTGAGGCAGGTGTGATTCAGCAGCTCTGCCTGTGGCCAGGGGGAGTGAGCTGCAGGACACTGAAACACTTTATATTTACTGGATCAAACAAGTTTGCATGCAGTAAGATTAGTCAAAGTGGGTTCCAGTTTGTGTGATGTTAAACAGAAACAAAACACATAACCTTTAAGAGGTGTTGGTTGTGAGTTACAGCCTTTACAGAAGACCTGAAGGCAGTATGATGTAGACCCAATGCGCTGACTCAGTCAAGTCCAAACTGTCCCTTCTTTCACTTTTCTGGAAGGAAAATAAGTTGCTGTTTTTACTTTCTTAACAAAGTGTTCAGGGTTTTAACTAGATGCAGGCCATATGGACTTATGTACAGCATGTGCCAAATGAATAGATGACCAAAGTGGGCCAATACACTCTGACCTGAGATTAGCCATGCTGTCTGTTAGCAGGATTGGTGATGTGAAAGCACTATTGACAGAGTGGTCAGTGCATTGAGAACACAGTCAGTCTGTCTACTGCCATTTCATTCAGTTCCATTGGAATCAGCCCCAATCTACTCACAGCAGACTCCTCTGTGTGTCATTCTGTGTATGCCTGTCATTTTAACAATCATTTCACTTGCATTCTGTAACTGTATCAATGTCCATCTTTACATAGGCCAACAGTAGAGACTTATGTTACTTTTACTACTGTTCCAATGACATTGGGTGTCTGAATGGTAGCTTTTACAGTTCCAAATAGTGGGATGGGTTAAATGCAGTGATACTGTTCTGTGTGCATGTGTGTCAATTAAAAGTAGATTTGATTCAAATCCCAAATTTGAGCATCATTAGAGATCATATAATGATGTGATAGTGTTACTGCTATCTGGACTGGAAGCCCAGAGGAAAGTTCAAACATGTTGAGATAAGCACCTCTGTGTATCCACGCAGTGTCTTTACTCCACCGCTGGAGTTTAGTCCATTCTCCTTTCTTGTTTTATTATTTCATTTATTCCCCAGTGTGAGACCAGGCTCCGCTGCTACTATCTGTCACTACAGAGATTATTGAAATGATTTGTCAGTTGTGCGTGTATGTATCTGTGTGTTTGTGTCAGGCTGTGAAGCTGTGGAAGTGTTCATAGATGACTAGTCATGTAGGCCAGCTCCAGTGTCAGAGCTCTTGGGGGCTGGAGGAGTGGAGCAGCCTGGCTGAGCTTCTCCTCTGCAGCAGGCCTGTGAGCCAGCAGAGACTGAACCGGTTCGTCTTTCCAACACTCCTGAAACAACGACATTAACCTTCCTGCTCTGTGTGTTTTTCTTTCTTCCCAAACAGAATCAGACGAGTCCTCCACGTTTGTAACCGGGATCGTTCTGTACAGAAACCTGGGCAGCATCCTGACTCTTCAGAGGTAAGACTGCTGACACTGAAAGAGTAGACACTGTTGACTGTTCTTATTGTTAACCAGTCATGAAGCTTGATTCACATCAGGGGATTTAGAGTGGTGTATTCCGACATGGACACCAAGGAGCACACACATAACCGTGTGTTTGACAGGTTTGGCGCACTAGAGCACTGGCTGCAGTACAAGGAATACCTAACAATGCAGGACACAAAGTATATATGTTTTATGTTCTAGGCTTGTTGGTCATTAGTGGTACAATAAAGGAAGGAACGTTATGTAAAACAACTTATTAACTAAAAGTCTACCTACTAACTTTTTAAAAAACTCTCCAACTAACTCAGCAGACCTTGAAGTTTTTTTTAAATATCTCAACAACTTCTGCCATGACACTTTTATACAAACACTCATGGTCCCCAGATGATGGATCATACTGACCTTGACCACTTAATGTTCTATTGCATCACCTTCTTGATGGCATGATGGTTTAAGTGAAATCCTCTGAAAACTACAGATTCGTACAGACATTCCCTTTCCACTCAGGAACGTTTGAATGTATGTAGTGATTCCAACATTCTTTTTTTGTACCTACAAAACAGACCAATCAACCCCAGCTGTGCTTTTGATTAACCTGTTCAACTAAAATAAACATAGTAAACATAATATTTGCTGAATCATGTGTGTACATGTGTTTCAGCCCACACACCACTGTGCCCAGTCTATCCTCACAGACCTGCCAGCATAGCTCTAGTCTCCCAGTCTTGCTTTCTGTTCCAAGACAATGAGACTTGAAATGGTTTGGAGTTTAATACGGGTTGATATATTTGTGATCTTATGTGATGTGTGTAACATCAAACATCCCTATGAGTGATGCCGCTGTGACGCGTTCCATACAAGAGTCCGTACCGTAGTTAGAGTTCATGGTGTTTGATAAAGACACAAAACAAACAATGTCCAACTGCGGACCACACGGTCAATAGAAAGGAGCAATTATCTTCTCCTCTTCATCGAAGACGGCATCCCACAGGTGACCTACATAGCAATAAACCACACCCATGTGACAATTGTCGGAAGTGATAACCATTAAGAATGAAACGTGCTGTAAATGGAAATGAAGATAATAATATAAATAATAAGCAATGGCAAAAGAAGCGTTTTGGCTCCTCCAATGTGGCTGAAAACAGATAGGCAGTGAAAGGCTTGAGAGACAGGAAGAGAGATAGATGGACGAACAGAGGGACAATAATATGTTGTATTTTCTGATCTGATGCCTCTATGAGCAGTACACCATTGTCAGAGCCTTCCACAAACACATACATCACTGTAACATACACATGGTTTAGTTCTCTTCTATCGGCATTGTCTGCTAAGATCCTTTTCAGGGTCTGAGTCGAGGTTAAGCAAAGATCATCGTCATAGTTGGATCAAACATTGACTATTGGTGAGTAAGTAGAAACAACTGCTGTAGTCCTGTGTGAACGCCAGGAACAATGTGCACGTGTCCAGAATCAGGGCATCTGTTCCCAGTTAGGATTTGATGGCAAACAGCAGCTCACTGGCAGTGGGTGGCCTCATGTCCGTCCTTCGCCTCCATGAGGACATGGATCTGTTGGGGGAAGTTGCTGCTGCATGATGCTTAACATGCCATTTAGAACAGCAGTATGTGGAGCTCATGTGTTGTGCTTGAATGCATGTGTGATGCTGTGAGTAACAGCCTGCTGAAGATGACTGTGCTGGTAAGGATCATTATGATACTGTGGTAAAAGCACATTATGAGCCGGTACCATAAGGGAAGAGGACATGAAGCAGACCCCTCCCTCACAGGCCTCCCACAGGTTTGTCTACACCTTTGGACTGTTGCTGCTCTCCCTGTTCCCCCTTCTGGTAATGATCAGAGTAACACATAGCTTCGTGATGAAAAGAGCACTTAAAACCAACGCATGTTTAGAAATAAAAAAATAAGAACACAATTACAATAAAATAAGAATATAAATACAGATCAGCTAAAACCAAAATGAAACTCTTTTCTCTTTTCATCCTTTTCTCCCGTACTTGCCTCTGCTTTGATTCCCCTCCTTTCGGGAAAGAAGGGAATAGGAGATGAGTTTGAGGAAAGACAGTAGATGACACAAACATTTAAGTTGACTGATTGTGTTTTTGAATGAGAGGGCGATTGTGCGTACAGGACACACTGATGATGTGAGGAAGAGCAAACCCGTTGAACACGTTGGTCCGACTGGAAGCTTTCGCTGTCAGAACTTCCAGCAGCAATTCACTTGTTCCTGATTGTCTCATTCCACATGATTGATAGTAGTACCTATCAAAAGCAAAAATTGAAATGCATACTAAACAGTCGAAGAGAAAAAGGATAAGCTATTGAAAAACAATGTGGACTGCTCGAGAAATCCTCAAACTTGTTAGGTTTTACTTAGCAGGAAGGATTGTCTCTGAAGCAGAGCACACACATTCTGCTGAGCTCACCAGAGGCAGATACATCAGAACATCTGTAGCATCTTCTATTGTTGATTCAGCAATTAAGGTGATTTGGATGCCTGTGTATAAGCTGACTGAATTGCAATGCAGCCATGTCAATCTGCCTTTTCCAACTTCACACGTGTTCCATGTTCCCTTCGAGGCACTCGTCTACGGATGTCATTGTTTGTGATCAGTGATTTCAAAACCTCTTCTTCCAAAATGTTGAACCACACTACCTAGTTTATGGTATATCTTTCACCACTTTGGTCCATCTTGAGTATCTCAGCAGCTTCGATGGTCCTAATGTCTTTGGTGACCCCTCCACCTTTCCTGTAGTGCCTACACAAGATGTTTTTCACTGAAACGTCTGAAAAATGGCTCTAACATTGGACTCATACTACCTAGAACAAATATCCGTGTGACATTCATGTTGTTTGAAATCGCACCACGAGGTCAATATTTTCACTTATCATGTCAAATATCTTGTCGATCTACCAAATGGATTAGACAAGTTGGGTTGGAGTCAATACTTTGACATTTATTGGATGGATTCCTATGAAATGTGTTAAAGTCGTGGTCCCATTGGGAATGACCCTAATGAAGACTCACATGTATTCATACAGTGAAATGTCTCTTATCAGCCATTTGGAACAGATATTCATCCAATCAAATATATTTGAATGACTTGGGGAATCCTTCGTCTTGTTATCTAGCAACATCATTTAGTAAAAACTGTTGCTGTGCAAAACTCAGTCATCAGCTTCAAATGTACTTTGTTTCATGCTAGTTGGCTAAAAGTAGCGTGTCAACATACTAAGTTGAGATGTTCCTCCTTTCCCTCTGCACATTGTCCCTCAGAGCTAATGCTATCTTTCCACAGATCACCCACTGATGTTCTGCTTCCTCCCTCTAGAAACAGCACAGTCCTCAACTCCAAAGTGTTATCAGTGACCATCAAGCCCACCCCCGCCTCCCTCTCCGCCCCGGTGGTGGTTGAATTCTCTCACATGTACAACGTGAGTAGCTTTTGTCTTCAATATATTGATCTAATATGACATGATGTGGTATTACCAGTTATCTGTCATGCTGATCATATATTTGTTCTGCCCCCCCATCCATTAGGGCACCACCAACCAGACGTGTATATCCTGGGATGAGAGTGACAGGTGAGTTTGACAGTTTTGGTGATTTGTCTTTTGATCATGCTAGTAGGTGTTTAGTATGTAATACATTGTACATTGTACAGTGCAACATGGAGGATCCACCTCTTCTGATTCCACCCCATACTTGATTGCCTGTATTACAGCTTCTATAATAGCTTCCATGATTCTTCTTGTTGATCCTCTAACTTTATATCAATTTAGTTAGCCGGAGTACGCTGCCACTAACCAATATTCAGTAACTCCCTGTTTATACATCTGCCCTACACAAAATCAATATTTTTCCAGATGTTTTGTAATTGTGACTTCCTCTTTCCAAGCGGATGAACCTCAATGTTTCGGACAACCAGATTTGTATCATTTAATGCTACAATCAAACCACTTAGATTTGCATTAGATTTGCCAAAATAGCAGAACATATCACTATATATGTGTTTCTTAAATGCATACATGAAAACAACGTAATGGCATAATTGTATGTCTTTCTTTGCAATGGACAAATCAGGGCCAATATTCAGTCTTGTGTTTTTGCAATTTAAGGTAAATAGACTATTTCAATGATCTCATATCAGAGGAATTTGGCACGTAAGCTAATTAAGCTGCTTCGTTCTAAAAACCTGAGCTTACACTGGGTTCTTGATGAATGTCATTATTTGGTGGCATATTAGTGGTAGTTCCTGGTATCCATGGAGATGTGTTAGCATGTTCCCTCTGAGAGCTCCATGGCTGCCCAGAGTTGTTTGCATTGAAAAGAACAGAGCACTGCTCCCACATGAAAGGTGCTGATTGTGTGAAACAGCTCCGCAGCTCTTGTCTGGCAAAGCGCTAACCCCATGCTATCACTGCTACGACACTGATGCAGCATGTGGAAAATGAAAAGTGTCGCCCACAGCTTTCCTCTCCGTCGCAGCCCACGCACACACACCAACATGTTCCAGAGAGCAGAGCGGAGTCTGAGCGAGAGAGCGAGGCAAGAATACATATTGAACAGTTCGGTCTTACTGCTTCTGTGGCCAGATCTAAAATCGCTGCTCATTTACTCCTTGCCCACAAGTGCCCTATTTGTTTAAAAGAAGAAAAAAGTGAGCATGTGTGAGCGTGAGCACTGAGCGGAGTAAAGAGTGAGGGAGAAGGAAAGAGGCAGACATTTGGAAGCCTTAATGCAATGCAGGTCCAGCATTTGCATTTAGATGGGTCCGTACACTTTTGTTACAGAGATGAAAAGCAGAACATCCACCGTTTCAGACCGAAAATGTACACGAAGTTTGGCGTGGCACTAGACCTGCAGCAGGAGAGAGTGAAACATAGAAGACATTTTTGTTGGCATTTTGTTCTTAATATAATGCACAATAAGGGACAATTTGATAGAAGAAAGTGTGCTGTCTAATTGGCCTTTCCCAACTCACCTACTCTGCTGCTAGGCTTTTGTTTTGAAACAGCTGCAGGACGTATTGTGTGTATTTACAGAAGTGTGTCAATTGTTTGATTTGTTTGAAACAGGTTTGAATAAAAAAATGAAGATAGTGATTTGTGACATTTCAAAAATGTCACAAATTGGGATGAATAAAGTACTTCTTATGTTATAAACAGTATGTCATGGAAAGCGGAGAAGGGTGAACCTAATTGCAGGAGAACGATTATCTTCAGACAAATTCATTATTTTTAAGAAATGTAAATAAATCACAAGCAGAATAGAACATAACTTAACAATGTACACCAAACAAGAATCCAGGGGGGGGGGGGGGGGGCTTTTGTGTTATAGATGGAGTTAGTGCCAAAACATATTTGTTGCCATTTTATTTGTTGCTCAAACAGAAAAGAAAACCATAAACAAGTACTAATTGCTAATCGCAAGTGTTCTACATCCTCTGAACGGTTATCATTATCTGTTTCACTTTCCCAGAATGATGTACATTTCCACTCTTCATTTCATTTGAATGATTTCTACGTAGTCTTCTTAAGCCTCAGCACAGGTGATAGCTGGGGCGGGGGCATTATGTTTTTGGGTTGACTACACTTGTCCCAGTTCCTTGAATGCAACATCTCAAAACATCTGGAGGGAATGTCTTAAAGTGTGTCAGAAAAAGGTTCACTTGGACCTGTATAAAGTATTTGGTAACACAAGGTTGAAGGTCAATGTCACTGTAACATGACAATAGGTATTTGGATTTTGGCCATAACTCAAGAATCCGTACGGTAATTATGATCCAATCCAAGCTCAATGAAACTCAACAGTTTATTGGGAAGATATTTCTCATTAAAAGCGTTCTAGGTTTGTCGTTCTCTACCTTTTCTTTGTTTGTTGGCTTGCTTTGTTACGGAGCTATAGAACGTTTTGATTGAGGAATAAAACAGTATAAATTCAGAGCAGCAGATTAGTGAGGACGACATGAATCCGCTGCTAGCTGCTAATGGAGGTAAAGCTGTGGAAATGTATTTAGAACAGACTGCCACTGCCTTTATTTGTTTTCAAGATGCCCTTTTTATCAAAGCAAGGACAATTACATTACATTGCATTTAGCTGACGCTTTTATCAAAAGCGACTTACAATAAGTGCGTTCGACCAACAAAATACAACCTTGAAGAAAACAGAATCATATAAGTACATCAGGTTTCATAGAGCCAAACATTTCAAGTGCTACTCAACTGGCTTTAGATAAGCCAGTCCTTTATTAGTATAAAAGTGCTTTGTTAATAGTTCTATCGCTCGAAGTGGAGTCGAAAGAGATGAGTTTTCAGTCTGCGCCGGAAGGTGTGTAAGCTATCTGCTGTCCTGATGTCAATGGGGAGTTCATTCCACCATCTTGGAGCCAGGATAGCAAACCCACGTGTTTTTGCTGATGGGAACTTGGGTCCCCCTCGCAGTGCGGGTGCAGCGAGTCGTTTGGCTGATGCAGAGCGTAGTGCACGTGCTGGGGTGTACAGTTTAACCATGTCCTGGATGTAGGAAGGGCCAGATCCATTCGCAGCATGGTACGCAAGTACCATTGTCTTGAAGTGGATTCTAGCAGTTACCGGAAGCCAGTGAAGGGAGCGGAGGAGCGGAGTGGTGTGGGAGAATTTAGGAAGGTTGAAAACCAGACGAGCCGCTGCATTCTGGGTGAGCTGCAGAGGTCGGATGGCACATGCAGGTAGACCAGCCAGGAGGGAGTTGCAGTAGTCTAGGCGTGAGATGACGAGAGCCTGGACCAGAACCTGCGTGGCTTTCTGGGTCAGCTGGGGACGTATCTTCCTGATGTTGTAAAGCGTGTATCTGCAGCAACGGGTTGTAGCAGCTATGTTTGCAGTGAAGGACAGTTTGTTATCTAGGGTCACACCCAGATTCCTTGCAGTCTGAGTCGGGGAAACAACATCGGCACCTCTGTTGTTTGAATGAATCTAATCATTTGGCGTGTGGGGTTCGGGGGGGTGACACGTCTTTTCAAAATTACAATTCATCTTGGACAGCAGGCATGATTAATGAGTTCATATTTGGGGGAGAAATTGGAAACTGAAGAGGCGTGTTGATAAGAGACGTGGAGCAGCAGGGCTTCAGTCTGCTGAAACTGATAAGAGCATCAGCAGCTCCTTCTGTCCTCTCTCTGGCATCAGCTCTGAGATGTGTTTAGGTTCATCCCGTGTTTTGTAGTTCCACCTGTTGGCTAACCATTTACCTTTATGGTAGTTCTGTATGAAGAGTTTAATAGATATGTCCGACAGTGGCTCAGTCAGTAGGCACTTCGAATGTGAGCTGTAGGGTCGCCGGTTCAAGTCCCCGACCAGACCTAAATATGGAGTGTGGACTGCTCCTTGGAGAGGTCCCAGTTCACCTCCTGCGCTTGAGCAAGGCACCGGACACCCCCCCACCCCCCCCACTCCCATTGCTCCCCGGGTGCTGTACACTAGCTGCCCACTGCTCCTAGTCCTAGACTCCTGGCACTAGGATGGGTTCAAAGCAGAGAACACATGTCGCTCTGTGCTCTGCGTGTGGGACCTTTACAGAGGGGTTCATCGCTCCCATTCTACTCTATGTAATACCTTTAGCCTTGACAGGAAATGGAGAAAGAGAAAGATGGTGAACAGTATGCAAAGAGGTTTCAATTCATTGGAATCCATCTCATGACCTAACCCTGACCCTAACCCTAACCCTCATGTAACCTAACCCTGAACTATGGTGTTTAAAAAGACACACAATTGCATTTTAGATTGTTAGTAACTTCCTCGGCCTTTCTCTTACAGTATACGGTACATCTTGATTTTTAACATGGAAAGATCATTTCTGATATTATTATTTGTTTTTGAAATACTCTGAATATGAAGTTACAGACGGACTGTACAGTAGAATAATATTGATTATTATCCACCCCACAAACATTATGCATTACATGTTTCTTAATACTGTGAGTCATGCTCCGCTCTCTGAATACACTGCACACATGTCTGCACAGCCCTCTACTTTAGAATACAATACACTGCAGGATGTCATTTATTGTCATATATTCATTGTACTAGGTGTTTTATTTGTTTAGCTTTTAAGTTTATTTTGTATATTTAAATTTGATGTAAATACTTGTTTTTATAATTTTGTATTGCTAAATGGTTCTTACAACTTATTTTCTTCTATTGTTTATGTGTAAATGTACCTGGCAATACAGTTGATTCTGATTCTGACAGTATTGCTTAATAATGATGTGTGTAAATGCACAGGCCCGTGATCAGATGCCATTACCCAATACGAATGAAGGTACAAACCTCTTAAACCACACACACCTGCACTGACTGCAGTCAATGAATTGATGTCATCACTCCAAACATTGGAGCCTGTTTGCAGGGCCTTCATTCCTTATTAGTGTTCAAACTGTAATGCAAGCCCATTGACCCTTAAAGCCAATGTTCTACTTAACGCATTGGCAAGTTCATAAAGGTCAGAGCGACGCACATGTTACCATACCAAGGCTCTGTGCAAACTCCAAGTACTGACAATCCTTTCAGAGAGTGGACAGTCCACAGCAAGGTGGGAGCAGAAT